CACATTGCACAATACTGTATGGGTCTGCCCTATCTGTCAAGTGGTATCGTCTGTTTTGTCTGGGTACGGTTTGGGCAGTTCTGTTTACACAAGGCTCAAGGCTAAAGAGAAAAAGATAAGTACATGAATGTAGGCACAGTAGTTTTTGGAGGAGCGCTTTATGTATTGGAAGGAATTGATATGATCTCATCAAACGAGGTGCAAAATCATACTGATCGCTGGTCCTACCTTCAGTCCACCTGTCGCTTTGGCCCTGGGTGATGCGTACCCCTCCTATGAGGTCTGCCAGTGAGAAAAACTTCAGACTTGCTACATGTACTTGCTTCTGAAGAATTAAGACAAAAGCCATTTTCAAAATGATGATACTTACAAACCTGTAGTAACTTAAACCGTGTGACATGGAGTTGTGGATGATTGATTCAGAAACCATCTCACAAATTTGGCAAAACCATCTTTGCTTCCAAATAAGCTCTATCAAAACCTTAATTAGCCAAAAAACCCTAAAGTGTCACAGTGTGGTGTGGCAAGACTCACCCAGAATGCGATCTCCATGTCCACCTCTCGGTAGTCCAGACCGGCTGTGGCATGGGGTCTGTTCTGACACTATCCTAGCTGCCAGGGCTCTCCTCTACCAATGGTCCACACTCTGACCCGGCCTCCCCATGGGTGCCACCTGAAAAAAATTAAGGCAATTACATTTCAGGTTAATCATGTTAATAGAAATCAGCACTCCTTCCTGTGACGAAAAGCGCTCAGGCTGAAGGGGGAATCTTTCCAAACTAGGCCTAGTCCAAATTTTACAAAACTGGTGTCAGAAAATGACATATGTCATTGTATGTAGGTCCAGCATGAAAAACAATTATCTGAATATGGCAGCAAATTCGGGAAGAGAGTATAGCTATGGAAGGCCTACGAGGCCTGCATGATGAGGGGCAGACACATGTACAGTCGTCTGCCCTTTTTGGTGGGTTATTAAACATCTTGGGCCTACCTGCTCGTACCTGATCTCTGGATGTTCGGTGTGACATGCTTGAAAGTGGCCTTGCTCGCGCTCTCGGCTAGGCGGCTAGCCGGCTGTCTCGATATCAGCACGCCGTAGGGATCATTGCAACCCTAGTCACCTCAGAGACAGGGTACCTGGAGCTAGTTGGGCTGGTGCCTTGCAAGGGGGGGGCACACTGTAAATCACATACACCACTCGATTAGACAATTGTTCTGGCTAGCTTTGTTCTCTAGAATTCTTTCAAAAGTGTAGTTTCTCACGATTTGGAATGCAACAACATTTCTTGAAACAATAAAAGCGCTGTTGCTAAAAAGAGGAACAAGAAACAATCAATGTACTGGTGCCATGGAGGAAACTTGAAGTGCTTCGATTTTGGAAAAGTTCGCGTTGCTACGAAAAAGATGACGCTCGATTGAATAGGACTACTTTAATTCCATCATCAATCCGGCTCAGTTCAATGCTTGAGAGGACTCCTTTTATCAAGGCAGATTAGCCAACAACAGAGGGTGCAAGACCGTATTCCCAGAAAAGGCAACCCCCCCCATAAAATTAACAAAACAGTTAAATGCTGCCCCATCCTCAGGGATTGCTACTTCTAGCACACTGCTAGACACCATGGAAACGAGACTGTGCAAACTTGTCTGTCAAGTGAATATAGTTAATTTGCTCGAGTGGCGCGTTTTTCAGTTTTTAAGACAACTAACAAGGAAGGCGAAACAGAATGAAGTAATGACCATTTTAAGAATTACATTTGGAACCAGATTGCATCTGCAAGAGAGCCGATATAACTGTTCCTAAGACCTATTTTTTTAATATGCAAAAAAAACCGCCTATTATAATAAAATATATATTTTTTCAATAAGTCAATGCCCAGGAATTTAAGGATCTTTAAAACTTGTTCACCCTGAAGACCCAACATCGTTAATGGCAGAATATCGACGAGAATATGATATCAAATCAGTGCTCTGAAATATGTGATTGCCAGAGCACTGATTTGATATTATATTCTCGTCGATGTTATGATCACGGGATCACGCAGCCCTTGCATATTTTTCTGATCGTTAATGGCAGGAATTTACGTCATGTTTTGTGACGTCACATTGGAGCGTGTATATGCAACCAAGGAAAACGCGCGCGTTCACCTGGAAGCGTTTGTGTTTGGCGTTGTAGTAACACAAATCAGATCCCTCACAGGTTTACGTGAGAACAGACGCTCTTGAAGCTATTGCAGCTTTCTATCAAGAATTCTGATCAGCTAGTCACTTCATTAGCCATTATTTTGCATATTGCCTGATTTTAAAGTTGTGCTCGTGTTTCCAATAAGTTACTTTAATTTTCCAGAGTTGTTCATTGTCGTTAAAAAGGAGACATGCCAGCAGATATGTCCCAAATCTTGGACAGAATATTCTGATCACACAAAATGCCCCAATTTTTGAGTTGTTCAAATATTTATCATAAAAGAGCGGCACTTCATGTCTTAGGATTGCTAGCTTAGAGTAGCCCAGTGTAGCTTACTTGCTCCCTATTAGGGACATGTCCATCATTTTTGTTGCTTTTCGGCAACCCCTTTACAGGGAGTCATGGATATCAGTTTGATATCAATACACCACGGGCCAAAGGAGACGTGTGTGGATTGCGGTTTACCTGTAAGTAGGCTCTCTCCAATATTCTACACCCATTTCAAATTTGCAAGGTCTGAAGTTATTATTATTCCCTTAGTTAAGAAATAACATCATCAAGGTGGGGATTGGTATGACAACTGTCGAGTCAGTAATCATACCAGGAGCAGTTGCCGATGTTTTCAAAATATAACATCTTTTTGCAAAGATGCCATAACTAATACAAAAGTAAATGTCGCTCGAAGTATCACACAAAATACGGTCGTTTATTTACAGGTTAGTTCACGAACTTTAGATTATATTCAAAATTAAAACGCTTTGGTTGTCCTAAACTGTCATAATCCGCTGAAACTGCTTGGATTTTTCTTCAAGCTGGGCTACTGAGTGATCATTACTCACACGGTGAGACATGTGTGGATTGTGGACTACCCTCAAGGAAGTGTCCAGTAAGTGACTACAGTCAGTTTTGTATGATATCGGTTTACTCAATTTAGCTTTACTGATAGCCACGTCCAATTAGTTATAAAAGTGGTACATGGTTATGTAAAGTAATCATTTCAAAGGGCTTTTAATATGAACTCTATCTAAAGCGCACAATTATTGTATGTTCAAACAGAACACGAAGGTTTTATCCTCAGTTTCATGGTAGCTCTACTTTTCGCCAATTACAAGGAAATGGGTAAGAGAGCATCGAAACATTTATCAGATATATCACATGATGATTTTTCTACTTTTTAGTGAGAGTTCAGGATATGTTATTTACAATTGACGTCTGCATACTTTCCAGTACCAATTTGCAGTCAATGCACACTATGTAGGCTACATACAGTCCTAGATAACTTCTTCGTTTCTTTTATTAGTGTTCTTGGACAGCCTGAGACAAATGCACCGCTTCCAGCGCCACCCACGAAGTCTCTCCCTCCGTCCTGCCAAGCTGCAGGCCCACGACTACCGACAGCATCACTGCCCAAAGGATGTGGTTCCCAAGCAAATGGGTATGTCGAAGATAGCTTTCTAGCAAATGTCCTGCATTATCACTCAGTGATTGTAGTTCGGTAAATAAAGCAGAGAATACGACAGATAAACGTACTTTTTGGTTTGTTCCTGCAGGGGGTTGTTGCCAACCTCATTATTTGCCCCCTTACCGAATCACTCCGCTTCGTCGGCACCAGTACCGAACCGACGAGTTCCCTCTGCCTTAGTCAGTTCATATATTAAAAATGAAATTATTAACTTGAAAAAGATTCATATTTCGCTAAACAATCAATCTGTCGGTATACAATGCTTCGAAATAATCTCTAAAGGAGGCAGTGATGTTTAGGCCTGTTGACATAGGGATGTTGGACCTGAACAAAAATTTGCTGTTCTTAGCCGATGACAAAGGGAATTTGACGTTCTTGTTTGCTCTCTTAGGGTGCAACTGCACTCGTCCCGACCAAGTCATCCAACTCCTTCACCTTCACATCAGACACCTAGGCCGCCTCAAATACAGTCCCCAGCAACGCTGCCGTCGACATTTCATCCATTACTGCCACCTGCCGTACCTCTCCAACTGAGCTTGCCAACAATAGCTATGGAGATATTCTTGCCGCCAATGAACATGGTGGTCCCAAGGATAGACCTGAGAGAGTTGTGACATCTGGGTCATCTTGGGCAGCGGTGCTTTTGGAACTTTTCATCTAGAAACATTCCATGGAAACAGAGTGGCCGTTCAATGCGTTAGGGCAATAACAGATCTAGACCGACTTCCCGTCCTGAGGGAGGCGAGGGCAATGGGCCTTCTTTCAGGGCATCCGTCATTCCCTTTCTTTTTTGGCCTGGCAGTGGCTGGCCACCACCAAGGACTTGTAATGGAATTCATTGGAAATTCCATTACTGGCCAGTTGCTGACCTTGGCGGATGCCCTGGAAGGGCTCAACCGTATACATCTTGCCCCGTCTTCCTGGCGCCGCATCGCGCTGGATGTGCTGGACGGTCTACGATACATGCACGACAGGGGTCTCCTTCATACCGACCGTAAAACTGATAACATTTTGGTCCGTGATGTTGGGGGCTCCTGGTGTGTGTGTATTATTGACGTGGGGTTGTGTACCCTGGCGAGCCATCCTCGGGTACTTACCTCACCCCAGCACAGAAGGCGCTATGGCGGCACTCTCACGTGCACATCGCCCCAGAGCTGGTGGAGGATGCAGCACCACAGACCCAGCTGAGTGATGTTTTCCAGATGGGTCTGGTGCTGCATTTCATCGGCCTCTGGGACGGTGTGCCTGTCATGATTCCACTTGCCAAATGGTGTTTGCGGCGGAACCCCCAGATGCGGCCATCAACGGCCGTACTCCGTCTTATGTTGGCTGGTATAGTCTAATAACTTTTGATATGCTTAGTTCCTTCTTAGACACGAGGGAATATGTATAAATAAAGAAGCATACGGAGAAAGACCTGACTTAATCAATTTTTGAAAGAGCTTTGAACTACGTTTAAATTTGCAGGCAAATTTAGTAAATCCCATGAGGGATTTCTTTTTGGCAATATGAAAATAAAGATTTTAGAATTATTTCTTGTTCCTGGCATTTACCCATTTTGAGCTGCATTATTATATTGAAAAAGCATGTGACTCGTGCAGGAACAACATAAATAGCCACTTAATTTTTTTGCACATGCAGTACTGTAAAAATGGAATGGAATTTCATGCTTTCTTTTCCTTATGGTTCGGGAAAGGTTACCTTTTTGCTATATTTCCACTTTTTCCCAGGTACTCAAAATCGCTTGTGTTCCAGTATGAATTACTCGTTAACAATTATCACTGAGGACAGAGTTTTCCCATCTGTCCTTTGGTTTGGGATGAAGTTACGCCCTCTGAAGAGGAAAGCTGGTAGTCCAACACTAAAATGATACGAACTAATGATTTGCAATTGTCTGTCGCTTAGCCAAGGTCCTTTAATAAGTAAAATTAGTAGCCAAAACAGTACTTTTGATTTTGAAGTACATACATTTCATGACCTGGACTGGTCGTTAACTGTTTTAGTTGGTTTTTAATTAATGTTGGCCCTGGGGATTTGCGAAAACATCCTAAATTTAGACAAACAAGGGACTTCAATTGAATAAAACGATTGTCTTTAGACCACTTCCTTGAATTTCTAATTCTGGTCTTCTAGGCTGAGCACATATTTTGCTAAGTTTACATTGACGCTTTTATGTGTGTGAAAAACAAGAGTGATCATTTAGAGTAATGTGAAAGTTGAAGAGAAAGTTGATCCAACATTTTCACGTAAGCATCGGTCAACCCTTAATCACTGTTCCCAGCAAAGGTTACAAAAACTTTTGCTCAATCAAAAGTGCCAATTTTAATTTCATATCACGTAATACTGTACAGTAGATCAAATTGTGGATCTTAGGAAAATAAATTGTGAAAGCTTAAAAAAACAATATATGGAATACTTTATCTGAAAAGGTTATTTTTAATGACTTTGAAAATGTTAGTATGAAGTTTTGGAAACTTTAAAGATGTGCTTCAGCGGATGTACCGTGTATTCAGAATTTATTCAAAACAAGTTTTGCTAGCATCACTTTCAAAAATGTTCTTCAAAAATGAAGCTGCCAAAATAAAGCAAAATCAAACCAGAAGCTATTTCACTTGTTATAGCACGCTTCAAAACTTGCTGGATTTTAGCTTAATTTAACTTAACTCATTATCAACGGGAATGTTTAGTATCAAAAGGAAATAATTCGACAACAAGGTAGTTAAGTTCATATAACAAAGCGGACAGATAATAATTGCTAAAAAGTGTAATTATGTATACAATAATCATGAAACATTCAGAAGACGTGAGAGTCTCCCCAGATGAAACTTGAACTTCCAAT